CGGACCCGCTACGGATCCTTTGAATGGCTCGTAATGCCCTTCGGACTTTCCAACGCCCCTGCAGCGTTTCAACGCTTTGTCAACAAGGTCTTCGTAGACTTGCTAGATGTCTGCGTAGTGGTCTACCTCGACGACATCCTCATCTACTCCGACAATCCGGCAGACCACCGAAAACATGTCCGGGAAGTGCTCTGACGTCTCCGGAAGCATCAGCTTTACGCCTGCGCGGACAAGTGCGAAGTCCACACGGACTCTGTCAAGTACCTCAGATACATCCTCTCCTCCAAAGGCCTCACCATGACTGACTCCAAGGTCAAGGCGATCATGGACTGGCCGGAACCCCGAAAAGTCTGCGACATCCAGTCGTTCCTAGGCTTCGCAAACTTCTACCGGAGGTTCATCCATAACTACTCCGAGATTGTCCTTCCGCTGACCCGGATTACCCGGAAATCCATCCCGTGGAACTTCTCCGACGATGCTCAGAAGGCCTTTAACACCTTGAAGTGGGCCTTCACCTCCGCCCCCATACTCCGCCACTGGGAACCGGACCAACAGATCACCATTGAAACGGACGCCTCGGACTACGCCATTGCCGGAATTCTCTCCATCACTACCGACTCCGGTGAACTCCATCCCGTCACCTTCCACTCCCGGACTTTGTCCGGTGCGGAACTGAACTACGACACACACAACAAGGAACTCCTGGCAATCTACGAAGCCTTCCGGACCTGGCATCACTGCCTTGAAGGCTCCAGAACTCTGATTGATGTGGTCACTGATCACAAGAATCTAGAGTACTTTGTGACCTCCAAGATGCTGACCTGGCGCCAGGCTCAGTGGTCGGAATTCCTATTGCAGTTCAACCTGGTCATCCGGTTCCGTCCCAGAAAACTTGGGGCCAAGCCCAACGCACTGACCTGCCGTTGGGACGTCTACCCAAAAGGGGGGGATAGTGACTACTCTGCCGTCAACCCACACAATTTCCGGCCGGTGTTCACCTAGGAGCAACTCACCGCATCTCTCTGAGCGACGTATCTCTGAGAACCGGTACTCCGAGCCTCCGTGCTCTTCGATGCTGAGAAGCTCTGCTCCGACATCCGAGCAGCCCAGAACTCCGATACCCTATCCCCCGAACTCGCCGCAGCCATTAAGTCGGCCCCCGAAGGCAACTCCCGTTGGTCCAAAGATGAAGAAGGGTTCCTCCGGCTCAATGGCCGAATCTACGTACCGGACTCCGACAACCTTCACCTCCGAGTCCTCCGGGCCTACCACGACCACCCGACCACCGGTCGCTGGGGCCAGAACAAGACTCAAGTCCTGGTCCTCCGGGAATACACCTGGCCCGGACTCCGACTCTTTGTCCGGGACTATTGCAAGTCCTGTACCACCTGCGCGCAATCCAAGGCTCCCCGTCACCTCCCTTACGGAACACTCAAGCAACTTCCGATTCCGGAGCGCCCGTGAAACTCCATCTCCATGGACCTCATCGAGCAACTGCCAAACTCCGATGGTTTCACAGACATTCTGGTTGTCGTCGACCAGCTCTCCAAACAGACCATCTTCATTCTGACACACAATACGCTCAACGCCCCAGAGCTCGCAGAACTGTTCCTCAAGCACGTCATCTCCAAGCACAGAGTTCCGTCTCACGTCACCTCCAACTGTGGCTTGGAATTCATGTCCCACTTCTTCCGCTCCCTTGGAACTATCCTTGACATGAACCTCCACTTCACCTCCAGGTACCATCCCAAAGGCAATGGTCAGACGGAATGTGTCAACCAAACCCTCAAACAGTACCTCCGGATCTACTGCAACTACCAGCAGGACAACTGGGCCTGTCTTCTTCCACTCGCAGAATTCACGTACAACAATGCTCCGAACACGACCACCGGAATCTCTCCGTTCTTCGCTAACAAGGGATATCACCCCAGTCTTGCGGTCCACCTGAAGCGTGACATCACCTCCGGTCGAGCACTCGAGTTTGCCATCAATCTAGACGAACTCCATGCGGAACTCCAACAGCACATCTCTGAGGCTCAAGCCCGCTACCAAGTCCAGACGGACAAACACCAATTACCGGCCCCAGACTTCCGTGTCGGAGACCTGGCCTATGTCCGTGCGCAGCACATCCGCTCCACTTGCCCCTCCAAGAAGCTCTCCGAAAAGTTTCTTGGGCCCTTCCCCATTATCGCCCAAGTCGGATCGCACTCATTTACCCTCTGGCTCCTGGACTCCATGCGAGCAGTGCACCCCGTCTTCCACGTTTCTCAGCTGGAACCCGCAACTCTGAACACCATTCCGGGCCGAGTGCAAACTCTGCCACCTCCGGTCGAGGTCGATGGAGAACTCGAATACGAGGTTGCGGAGATCCTCGACTCCAAGTTGGACAAACACAGACAGAAGTGCCAGCTCCTGTACAAAGTCCGATGGTCCAGATACGAAGGCACCAACAAGGAGACCTCCTAGATCCTCGCTACGGAACTCGGACATGCACAGGAACTCATCTCAGACTTCCACTCCACTTATCCGGACAAACCCGGGCCCCTGTAGGAGCTCTGAATTGCTAAGTACTCCGGAACTCTGTCCTCTCCGGCTAACTCCCCACAACCAGATGTTGAGGCACATGGATACCCGACAAGAAAAGAAAGAGATTGACCCATTACCACTTTACAGGGGTCTATCTATATCCATGTCCGTGTCTGTGTCTGAATCTCTACTCCTGCGCCTGCTCCGGCCCCTTCTCTGCTTCCTGCTTCCGGCCCTGCTCTGCCTCCGACCCCAGCTCCCAATCCAGCTCTGCCACGCCGAACTCCTCCATCTCTGCCCAGTCCGGGTCCGACTCCAAGTGGCCCTTATCGTCTGAGGGCTCACCCTCCAGGAGATCAGTGATTCTGCCGAAGTACTCCTGGTAGACCCCCTCCTTGCTCTGGGCCAGGTCAGAGATCGCGCTGTGGGTTAGGCGCATCTCACGCCAGAGCTCCTCCAACTCCTCCCGCAACTGCCAGATCTCTGACATGGCATAGTGGAGGGTCTTGAGGACAATGATCTCCCTCCACGCACGCCGGCTAAAGGGGAGATCGGCCTCTATGGAGGTCGTGGCCATGTCGATCTCCTTCTCCTTCCGCTTGAACTCCTCCTTCCTCCACTCCGCCTCCAGCCTCTCCTCCCGCTCCGCCATCGTCTCCCGCTCCTTCCCCCAGGCCTTGGATAAGGACCCGGGCACGGGCCCCATCTTCTCCGCCGGGGCCACCTTCTTGCTGGGGGTGGACCGGCCGACCGGGGTCACCAGGGCCTCGTCATCCGAGATGGCGACAGCAGGGGTCTTGTCTACCCGCTGGCCTCTGGTGCACTTGGTCTTGGACCTCGTGCAAGCCTGGCAGGTCCGGGTGCGTGAACAGCCCACGGAGAAGAGGCAGGTGATTCTCTTCTCCTTGCACTCGGCGTAGGTTTTTCTGCAGGACAAGTCAGTACAACTCCAGTAGCGGAACTCTAGACTTACTTGGCCGGAGCCCACACCGTCTCCGTCCGAGCCCGTTTCCTCTTGGGCATGATGTTGACGATCTTGTTGTTATTGTTGTCGTTGGTGTCATTGTCGTTGTGGTGGCGCTTGCTGGGACCGGCCTTCGGGGAACTCCGGGGAACTCCAGGGGGACTCCATACGCCCTGATGCAGGCTTCTAGGCCCGCTCCTTCTCCGCCTGCTGCCGCTCCGCCAGCTCCTTCTGCAGTCGCGCCCTCTCCCGCTCCAGCAGCTCCACCTCCTCCCTTGCCTGCCGCTCCTGCTCTGCCTTCTCCCGCTCCATCCTGTCCCGCTCCACGCGCTCCTTGTCCTCCCGGATCTGCTGTCGCACCGCTGCAAGCTGGGTGAGCAGCTGTTGCTGCTTTTCAATGGGCGGAGTTCTGGGCATGGTGTATGACTTAGAAAAATGTGGGGGGCAGCGAGTATGGCGACACCTGCAGCACCAGACCTGCAGCACCCTGACCTTTATAGATCCTCTGCTCCCCGACTCCGCTTGCCCTAAACATCGTCTGTTCCCTTTCCCACATCCTCCGTTTGAACTTCCCTGAACTCCACACATGATCCGTTCCGGACCCCGGACTCCAAACTCCGTACGATACTATAGGCCTCAGGGGCTTAGCTCTAAGGGGGGGATACTGTTATGCCCCATGCCTAAGTCCCTCTGGAACTCCGTCGGACACCACACTAACTCCATCGGACCTCCGGACTTGCTTACAGATAGTTACTTATGTACTGGTTTCCGTCTCCTTTCTGGTCTCTGATGGGGGCCATGTGGTTTTTCAAGTGTCTGCAACATCTCCACTGGAATGTCTGTTTTTCCATATCAGTGCCTGACACCACTTACATCACAGCTTCACTTAGTGTCAGTGCTCCGCCACCTCCGGTTGGACCTCCTCCTCCAATATCTCCGATTTGGACTTAAGGGACACCAGTTTCTATCGCAGCGACTAGGCACGTAGACTCAGGTCGACGTTCAGCAATGACCCCATAGGCGAGCGGCAAGGAGCCGAAAGGAAAAGAGAGAGGTAGAGAGGGATAAACGTAGCAAGAAACTCGACGAGGGCAGAGCAGAGGTCGGCACGAGGGCACAAGACCTACGAAAGCTAGTCTTCACGCAGACAGCGACAGACTAGTCCTGATGACCAAGTTATACATTAACAATCGAAGGGAGATACAACGCTATGGTCACTCACCTAGTCCCAATGACCAAGAGGTCGAGATAGGGACTAGAGAGCGCCTAAGGGAGTCCTTATACACTGGAGGGGCTGCTCAGCAACCAAAGACAAAGCACGAGAGTGAGGCAGTGAAGATGACAAAGAAAGAACAAAGATAGTGGAAGAAAAGGCAAAGGCATGGCAATCACAGAAATGGAGCATGTGGATGTGGGAATGTATCTCTTGTAAAAGAGTGGGCGGCAAGCGAGAGCGTAGGTCACATTTGGCTTGAGAAGAGAGGCAATGACAGAGGGATCTTGTTGCAAATGTGTACTGTACAGCACAGTAAGTACAATGTCTATATATGAAAACCTTATCGATAGTGGACATCGCCGAGCGTAATCGCTCACGAAGCACCCAAAAGCCAACATCTCTAGTGTCCAAACTGGGATGGGTCAGGAAAGGAAATAGTCCGAAAACAGAAGGTGGGCGTCAAAGGGAAGGGAATGGGTGGCAAAAAGGGATACCTGTCCAACGTCCATGACATCAATAGAGTGCTCAGGGGATCAAGGGAGGTGTATACAGAAACCACATAGAGCCTCTCAGCTGTGCACAGCCTACATGGGAAGGAGTCGAACATCTAAGCACATTTATAGCAGGTGACTAGGTAGTGAAAAAGGAAAGACCAAGGTCAATGGAACAGAATACACCTGTTACTAGGCTACACAGTGCCATGTCCTCACAAGTAGTGAAGGAGGGTACTTAGACTCCGAAAATGACACAGCATGCAAATACTCTATTCCGGTCCAGCTGAGAGATATATTGGGAGAGTTGTGGCAGTCTATCGTTTGCGGTCAGATTTGTGTTGGACCTCCGACTTAGGGTTAGAGTGACAACAATGTCTAGCATAACATACAATGATAGGTGGACATTATGAGTAACGAGCTCCCCGGGAACGCAATACGCGACACGGGCGCCAGGGAACGCAATACACGAAACGGGAAGGGGGACACAAGATGCCAAACGCGACGTGGGGGGTGCGAGTCTGATAGGGATTCATTCATTATACAGGAGTACGCGTGCGGAGGACAGGACGGTAAAACAACAGCGGCGACGAAAGCTTGCAATCTCAGCGACAGGATATAATATACAAAGTGATGATGCAGATGACGACGGATATACAACTCAGACAAGCGCTGCTCAGAGCGCCTCGTACCTCCCTGTGACAAAGAGCATATCAGCAATTGCAGGCGCGGCCGCTGACTGAACTGGGAACATACATAATCGGGCTTGCCAGTCTCCAGAGCCAGTAGCGAGAACGTTCCCTGCAGGACTGAGGTCGATCGAGATCACTGTGGAACAACGAGGAACACGTCAGCGATAAGGGCCGCACATGCGCATAGTATCCTGCTCGTAAACGCAGATGCAGGCCAAGTCGAGAACTAGAACGTGCGGCTCACCAGAGTTTTTGTGCCCTTGCAGCATGCACTGCGCAACGGCGGTGTTCGCGTCCCAGAACTGCACACCCCGGTCCTTCGACCCCGACACGACCCACTTGCCATCGTGGGACACCGCGACGGAAAGTACGTAGTCCTTGTGGCCGGTGAAGTTCATCGTGCACTGACTGCCCTTCTCTCCGCCGCCATCACCCTTGCCACCCAAGCCGTTCTTCCCGCTCGACCCAGGCGGGGCACCCGAACCCGACGACCCGGCACCCTCACGCGCACGCAGGATAGGCCGGACGTCCCAGTACTTGAGCGTCTTGTCCAGCGAACCCGAGACGAGACCCTTGCCATCCGGAGTGAACGCTACGGAGTAGACCGAGTCACGATGACCCTTGAGACGCTCGACGAGCTGTCCAGTCTGAACGTCCCAGATACGGACGACGGTATCGAGCGAGCCGGCTGCCACAAGTCCACCGTCGGGGGAGATGCACACGGAAGTCACACCTGCATCGACGCCATCCGGCTCTGGGATATTCACTGCATACAGACGCGTGAGAAAAGTTGGGCGATCAGTCAGTCACGTTCCTGAACGACGACAGTGACGCAGATAAGAGCCAACACATACAAACTATGCACGAACGGCCCGAAAGGTCGTTCATGTCCCAGATCCTGGCGGTGCGGTCACCAGAACCAGAAACAATGAGGCGGCCATCTCGCGAGAAGTCGAGCGAATAGATCTCTTGCTGGTGTCCATCGAATGTCGCCCGGATCCTCTTCTTTTGAATGTCCCAGATCTGCTCATACAATCGAACGTCAGGTTTTAACGCGACAAGATTCGTGCGCAAAACACTCGTGCAGAGTGTGTCTCGAGGATGCGCAACAAGGGATTGAGGGACGTACCCTGATCTGCTTATCTTCCGCACCCGTCGCAAGGTATTTCCCATCTGGGCTGAAGCACACGCTGCGGATGTACAGATCCCCAGTCTTGCTCGCCGTCTCATCCACCAGCACACTATCACCCACATTAAACTCTGATAATCTAAGACGACGAACAGAACACGCACCAAGTTTTCTGGCCGGTTTTTGTATCGTAGATCTGTGCTGTTCGGTTGCAACCCGTCGCGAGGTACTTCCCATCGGCCGAGAACCGGACGCAACAAACGACGCTAGTGAAGAATAGTCAGCGATGCGCCTCAGAAGCTAGATCCTCTAGACTCACCTCTCATGCATCAGAGTGTGCACCAGATGCACGTCCAGGTTCCTCTTCCTCGTCAACTGGCCGCCCGGGCCGTCCGGTCCTGACGGAGCGGGGTTGAAGATCGCAAACCAATCTGGGCCCTCATTCTTCAACTCCGGCGGTACGCTTTGGGGGTCCATGCTCAAGTCAACGGGCATTGGAGGGATCGCGACAGACGAGCCAGGTGGGGGTGGGAGTGTCGCAACAGCCAACGAGTTTGGAGGCTCTTGGGTGGACGCAGAGGTCACGGTAGGCGTAGGTGGATATGGTTGAGGCCCTACCATTGCGCAATTGCGCAATTGCGCAAATAACGTGTACATGAGCACAATCGTGCGGCCAGATATCCGTCAGCGACAATTCATGTAAATCGGACAAAAAATTCCACCAAGACACTGATTGTCACTTACCCGCAACACCGTTCGAGACTTCCTGCCCCGGTCCTGGGGCGCCAGGTCCTGGCCCGCCCGGCCCAGTCGTGTATGGTGTCGAGGCGCTAGGCGTTGGCGGAAGCTTCGGGGTCGCCTGAGTGGCAGAAGATGGCGGAGGTCCAGACGGTGTAGGAGGTGCGCCGTTCGATGAAGACGGAGGGGGAGCGGCTGGGCCGAGGGAGATTGATTGGTGGTGATGATGCGGCGGAAGATGAGATGGTGGAGGCTGGGCGCCCATGGAAGGTGAAAACACATCTGCTGGATAGCCACAGCCGATGCCACAAGGCGACCGACATATAACGGGCAATTCGCAGCAGAGATGCGAAGGAGGAGTGCGATGGAAGATTCACGAAGGATGATGCAGGGAGTTCAATCGTGTCGGCGTGAGAATTGAACGCACGAAGGGAAGTGCGAGAAGGGGAAAATGGACGGTAGGGGAGGCAACGACGAATTCGCATGAGAACACGCAAGAGAAGATAATGACCGAGAGAACACGCACCTGCTCGATCAGACTTCATTCTATCCCGTTCAGTCTTAATGCGCTTCACATCACGGCCGTCGCGATCTCTGTCCCTCTCACGCTCCCTCTCTCGCTGTTCGCGCTCCCTGTCCAGAGCAGTACGTTCGCGGTCTCTCTCCCGATCACGGTCTCTTTCTCGGTCGCGATCGCGGCCATAGTAGGGGTCGCCGTAGCCTCCGCCTCCACCGGGACCAGCGCCAACGCCCAACCCAACGGGACCAGCATGCGGGGTGAGGCCGAGAGGACCGAGAGGCTCACCGGCAGAGCCTGGGGGAGGACCGCCGGGAAGTGGGGGTCTACCAAGGCCAAGTGCTTCGCGACCGAGGGCGTCGGGGCGGGGTGCGGTGTTGGCCATGACGACGTCCCGATCGCGATCACGTTCCCTGTCGCGTACATCACGCTCTCTGACGTCGCGTTCTCTGTTCAAGTCACGTTCGCGGGCGAGAGCAAGGTCGCGTTCCCTGTCGCGGGCGTCACGCTCGCGGTCGCGACCAAGGGAGGCTAGACCGAGGGGCTCTGGTGCGCCACGACGTTTGTACTGATCGAGTTCTGCGCGAAGAAGACGGATGTCCTCCTCGTACTGCTGGCGAATCTTGCCGTGCTGGGTTTCGAGGTCGTAAAGGGATTGGCGGATGATGTTGAGTTCGTTGACTTGGCTGGTGACTGGAAGGGTGGGGATGACGATTGGGAAGGCGGGGGGGATTGAGAGTGAAGGAAAAAGACGCACTCTTGCTCTCGTACTCGTCTCGCTGACCGCGGAGATGGTCACACTGCTCCTGGAGGGTGTTGAACTCGTCTCGTATTTGGCTGAAGCACTGGTTGAGGGTGGCGAAGGCAGTGGGGCCCTGGGGCCCCGCCCCTGTAGGCTGTAGATGTTTGTGCTGCGGGAGGAGAGATGAGCGGGCGGCGGAGAGGGCAGAGCTGGGACGGGAGGGGGACGTACGTTGTATATTGTAGAGGACATCGGGGATGATGGGAGAGATTTGGAGGGAAGCGCTTGGGAGGTGGTCGCCTTAAGACCCGCTACGCCCTCGCTGATGGCCCGCACGTGGGGCACCCTGTTCGCGCGATCTCAGATTTGGGTCCCACACCGAGGCTGCGGACCCGCCGGGATCACCTTGTCAGGAAGAGACCATGAAGACGGAGACGCCTGGCGAGATCGCGATCTTATCGCTCCTTCTGCTGACGTCGCGACTCTCTCCGCGAGCATACAGAGGCGCCGATGTTAGCGCCTGCCTCGGAGGTGGCGGCCCAGGCCGTGGCAGGCTCTGCGCTGCGCTGTTTGCCATCGATCCGCCCGCTGCTTCGCTTGGCCGACGTCGTCCTGCTCGCCCTTCCATATTCCCAGGCCAAGCCTTCTTCTCGCTCGCTATTGTCCGCCCACTCCGGCGTCCCATCCGCCCCACGGCCCGACTCCGACTCCGACTCCGAACCTGGCTCAGAGGTTCCGGCGACGCTGCGTTCCTGGACTCATCTCCTTCCTCTCCTCGTCCCCCCTCGCCCCCTGCCAATCGACCCTCTCATAAGCAAATACAGACCTTCTGGGCGCCATCAATGTTGTCTATCTCACGCTCATCTCTGATTCGTAGCCAGCTGCTTCTCACCAGCGTTTCTGGCGCCCTCTTCCTGTATCACCAGCCCCCCTTCTCGCCGCCTTGCGGGCCATCCACCCCTGCATCTGTCAAGAACCATGCCTTGCGTCTCCTCTGCACGCCGAACCCGACCATCGGCCATCTGTCTACCCACCCCGGCATCACCCCTCGCGCTCAGGGGCCATTCATCTATACACCGGGCCCTCTCACATCCATGTACCCTGCTCGACACACATACATCCACACCCGGCGGTCCAAAATAGCGGTTAGCCACCGACGCAACAACGTCTAAAGCTCCCGGCGGCGGATATGCGGTCCTCGCAAGCATCCTGCAGCCATCGGCTGCAGAACTCGCCCTAGATGTCCACTCACCCTCTCCTTCAACCCCCGAGCCAAATCTGTGCTATACCATTCCTGTCTCGGCCTCTTACCCTTACGACGCTCTTCAACCACACGCGCCTTCTTCTGAGTGGTCATCTGCCAGTGCCTGGGCTCGGAATCGATGATCAGCAGCGTCCGTGAAAAGCATACTTGACGCCATCCAGTACTCTCGACAGCCGCTGCCCCATCCAAGCCACGCTCGCGGCCGCGGTGGCGACTGCGGCAACCGTTCCGCCATCTTGATCTCGGTTCCCCGGAGTGCTGCTGCTGCCCCTGCGGCACGGCCGGAAAAGCGCGAAGCGCGACAGACAGCACAGCCCCTTCCGGCGTTTCCGTCTTGCACGCGAGCGGAGACGCTCACGCCCCGGCCAGACCGGCACGCAGCCGTGCATAACGTCTGTCTAGATCTCGGGCAGATGTAGCGAAAGGCTTCGTGTCCCCGGCGCATCCTTCGATTCGACGTCTCGACCCTCGAAGGTTACACGCGGGCTGCCCTCGAAAGGCACCAGTACTGGCGAAGGCGAAGAAGACGGTGCGCAGGGAAGAGTTCTGTCATCCTTGTAGCCCCCCTTTAGCCGAGTCTATATCTTGGGGGGGTCTGGACGCCAGCGGACGATCGCGGATATCTCCAAACCCCCTTCCTCGCGAGACAAGTTGCACGCTCCGTACTGATCCGTGCGAATGCAGCAGCGCGTATCGATGTCTGTACATCTCTTCTCCCGTACACTCCGTGCTGCTGTCGTGGAACGACGCCACAACGAGTCACATACTTCGTCTCTGCTCCCGTGTGTTCATATACCACAATCCGAGCAGTTCCTCGCTTTGGGCCCGCATTTGTTCCATGTCTGATTCCAACGCATCCGCCCCCCTCAAACCTTGTAACCCGTCCGGACACGACCAACACCAACCCAAGCTTGCTACACGCCCAGATCCTCCGTTCTCACAAGTAAGGTCGAAGCCTGGCCTGCGGCAGTCTCGAACCCGACTCGTACGACTCCGCGAGCGCACCGATCGCTCACGTCCACAATTGCACACCCGCGCTCCGGCGCCACGTCGGCAACTCCCCCCAGGGCGTGCTTCTTCCTGCGAAAAGCGACGCCAACTCTGGCCCGAGCGTCGCCCCTCATGAACGCGCTTCCATCTGTGGAACCTTCGGAGAAGAGCACGCTCCAGCGTACGGCCCCCGGCGGCGACGGCAAACCTTCCCTTCACGTGTATCGCCGATCAGACAGCTCGTCGACGGTCACGAGCAACGGAGAAGGCCCGGGATCCGAGAACCAAGTGCCACCTGCAGTACTTCGGGCTCACAGCAGCGGACACCGCATCGTTTAAGCTGCCGCCTTAACCGCGCGCGCGACAATTTATGTTATCCCTGCCACGGTTGACCGGAACTGTGAAGCTCACGTCGACAGGCAGTGGTGCATTGACACCGAACGCATAAAGCTCCGCGCAGCTGCGTTATTTATAGCTACACGTAGCTAATGTCTCCTGGGCTTCCACATCCGAATGTAACTAGTCCGCGCTCACCGGACCTAGCTCAATTTTCCAATCGCCCTCTTCGGCTCCCGGCATTGGAACATGATGGCTTCTCCGACAAAGGTTCACCCTCTCCACGCTCCACAGGGGTGACGATACCTCTGCGACTGATTCTGACTTCAGGAAGCGAGAAGTCAAAGTCACGTCTGAAGATCCGAGAGAACGCGGCAGGTGGTCATTCCGAACAGACAAGTTGTAACCGAACTGCATGCGTAGGAGATATGACTTATGCGCATCCGACAGACGAGTATGCTAGTGATACGAAAACATCAGATAGCAAGATGTAACAGCAATGTAAAGCACGAATTGCAGGATCACAGAGAAGGTATTAGAGGAAAGGGAGGAAAGGGTACTAGACTGCGAATATAGTAAGGCGCGCAACCAGAAATTGTTGGGTACGGCGCAAACACAGCGCTCATCATCAGACCGGTAAAGTCTGCGTATCAGACGTACTACATCGTGACTATGCCTGTCTGTGAGCATAGGGTTGAGCGGTGGGCGTCAGGTTTGGCACGGGCATGGGAGAAGCAGGCACGTGAGAACGCGCGGGTGGGACAGCTGGTACGGCCCGTTCCGGTGGGGATACGCCGGCGATCATGCACGAGCGAACCAGCCAGTTGCGGAGCGCTTCGTACTCCCTGCGCTGACCTTGTTGACTAGCTTTCGTTTACCCGTGGCTTTGCCACTCTTGCCTGCTGGATTGAATAATTGGATTGGTTCTTCTTATCGCAAGCTTAACACATTGTAAGGATTCGAGCAAATTACAGTATAGGTACCCAAAATGATGTTTTAGGCTCTATCATAATACAGGTTTTGATTTTCAGTTGTCGCTTTACAGCGGATCGCATATTGATAGGCCCCTTCGAAACAACCATGCTCAGGTTGGTCGGGAGCCGAACTATACGCGAGTCCAATGGATGCTCTGAGCCCCCATCGAGCTCGCTGCGCAGCAGCAGAGCCCAGCGATGGGAGTTCAAAGTGCCTGAATGGCTCTTTGTAGTGCCCTCCAGTGACTTGAGCGGCAGATTGGACTTGCATTTTGGTCGGCTCATCTCTGACCTGCAGAACGTCAGTTTTCCAGTATGGTTGCACCGTGGTCAAGCCGTGTATGGCGCCGCAGTGTATCGGCTCACCTACGTCTTGAAGTTTGTGCTTTGCGAGTATTGCCGAGAAATCTCGCTTACAGGTACGTCCAAGCGCGCCTCCGGAGGCTTATCGTCGTGCTCCCCATGCGCGTCGCACCGGGGGATCTAAACGTTATCGAAGTACTTTGAGTTACCTCAATCGTTCTCAAACTATCACCAAGACGTCCTTGGGTCACTTTCACCTCAATATGAGAGCTTGGGACTTTCCACCAACACCCGTGAGGCCGTTGGCGCTTCTGGAGTTATTTTTGCTTAAAGAAAGTTTGGGCATTTGCCACACCACAAATGTTTGCCGATAATCGTGGTGTACACCGCAGCGCCATACACGGCTTGACCGCGGCGCAACCATACTGGAAATCTAACGTTCCCCTGACCTGAGTGTAATTCTTTGGGGAGAGCTTATCTCCGTGATTGCTGTAAGCTCTCTGAAAGTGAGCAGGTACACCCGTTGCTTTCAGACTGTTGCTCAAAGTCATAATACATAATGATACCTACTTAACTTGTTACCTGTTGAGCAGCCGTTGCATTCTGCATGTTAGGCACTGTGTAAAATCACCCATGAGGTTTGCCTGAGTTCAGTATGAGACCTGCTTACTTACTTTTGTACATGTTCAGCTCCAAGTCCTATCAGAGTCAAGCACTCTATAAACACCTTGTTGTTTTCTGCTCAGAAAGTTCAGCATGCAAAAATTCTATTCTTATCATTCCTGGCACTATGCCATATCTACCCTCTGTTATTGTTATGTGTAGATACATATGATATCGAGGTCCAATTTGCCTAGTTGTAATATCTCTGCCCGTTGCACCCTGGCCTCGCCCGTTGAACAGAGCGCCCAACGCGCAGGATGCCCGTGCGGCGCGCTGGGCCCATAAGCGGCGCACATGGCAGCCACGCGGCACCACGTGCGTTTCACGTGGTTTTTAGACGCTCCACGGCCCATTCTTTTATGATTTCCCGCGCATATCAACACCGAAGGTACAAAGGAAACCGAAGGCAGTGACCTCACTTGGGGAAGGCCAGATCATCATCATGAACTCGACACACGGCGCGAATGCTTTCGCGACCTCCAAGGCGATGAACAATGTCCGGTCCGCATACCAGAGCGACAGACCTCTGGGTCGCATTGCTGTCAAGGTTTGATCTTGCGAGAACAGATGAAGTTCTTACCGCATGATCTGAGACATGAACCAGTACATCAGGAAGCACCGTCGACTATTGCTGTTTGGCTGGGTACCCGGGCTTTTGAATGACTGCGAGAACTGCTGTGCGGATCCAAGCATATACTTCACTGCCCCGAAATATCAATACGCTTGGAAGAACAGAGATGTTTGGGGCACTCACTCCAGCGTTCCGCTTTCTCCCGGTAGAAGAGCGACCCGTCGACACTGTCAGACATCAACTCAGCGTCGTTCACACCCACAAAAGTCGAAGAACAACCTGACCACTCACGTCGTCGCTTCAGATATATACCGCCTGAATTCGTTAGAGATGACCATCCTCGTACTAAACGACCCACCTATGGTTAGCTTATAGTGCTTACAACCCAAATAAAGTCGGACTCACTTAAAGAGGACTTCACGCATCTGCATCATGAATCCAGACTGTATCCCACATGAGTGTCTATCCAGGCACGCTTCGACGTTATCAAGCTCAAGCCACGCCCCCATCGCGTACGCCGCCCGGTCTGCATCTGACGATGTCGAGTCCCCGCGCTGGCGAAGAGCGCTGTGCCAGAGGAACAGCACCCGCATATACAGTGCCCACACCGACTCCTTCGAAAACGGTATCGTGTTCATGGCCATGGGAACCAGGCTCTCCCCAGGGAACAGCAGTGCATACTGTGTCAACAAATCAACGCTCAGCGTGATGCAGGGCCCCTCTGACGAGAAGCAAGATACGCACATTAGCCGGATCCTTGATCCACAAATGTTGCGGCTCCCTATCCGTTCCCGCCGTTGTCTTCGTGCTGTGGCTCGCCGTGAGCATGACAGTCGACCACACTATCCGCCTGCACTCCTCCTTCTGTACCTCCCCCTCGCTCGCCCTATCTGGCCACATGGGCATGCAGGTCCAGGCGGGGGCTAATTCGACCGACTGGGGCCAGTTGCTACCAAGGCAGTAGGAGGAACATCCGCATTGCCATTGCGAGCCGTCGGCAGGGAGCATCTGGGAGTGCGCATGAGAATAGCCCGGGATAAACCCTTGTTGGGAGTGGTACACAGCAGGAGGGGCAAGGGCAGGTGCCCTATTGTCGAGAGCCATGGGTAGTGGGTTGACGGAGATTGGAAGGGTAGCAGTGGCGATGACAACTGGGACCTGACCCCGCGCAAACGTGGAGGTACGAGGGTCGGCTATGTCAAGTGTGGTGAGCGAGAGACTTCGTATCAGGGAATCGAGCGTCTTGAAAGCAGAGCGAGTACGGGGTGTAGCCGCTCTTGGGTGGGCTTGGATCTCGAACATTGCAAGCAGCTGCGTACGCATCAACAAGCTGAGCGTTAGCGATCAGGAGTATGTGCGCAGACAGGTCAAAGCTTCACCCATGCAGCTTGCACCAGCCCGACGTCAATCCAACCTGAGCTCAAACTCGCGTCGAACATCGCATGCGCTTGATCCACAAGTTGCAACGCCTTCTCTCGGCCTTTCGCGCCCTTCTCGAGGTCAGAGCTCCGGAAGAATGTCGAAAGGGCCAAGGCACCGTAAATGAGACTCGGTTGCACGGCTTGTCGGTGATATGGGCGCAAAGGCTCGCAAAGAATCGAGGGATATTCACAAAGGCAAACCAGTGTAGCGAGTTCTGGAAGAGGAATCTCAGGTCTGCAAAGACAACCTGCATTTTCGTATCACGCACATCAGCAGTCATAGAGCGTCCTATTGGTACGTCGGTATAGTGAGCGAGGAGGGCGTCCCACCAGGTCTCTCGAGTAAATCGCACTCCTGGCGGCGTCCAGACTGTCACGGATGTCTGCGAATCGTCCGGGTCTTCCTCTATTCGCCATGCAAGTTCGAAGGCCTCTGGAGGTGCGTATATGAGGACAGGGTCGCGGGGCTCGATAGGGTCCGGATTGTAATGGATATACGTCGGCTCAGTCGGGTTTTGTGGCATGACGGAGCCGCTACTAGCTCGATGTGGCTGAGGGATTGAAGGGACTGTTGCAAGGTAAGACGTTGCTGACGCCCTCTCCGTCAGTCCTGCATTGTTCGCGCGTCGCTGCACCTCGGGCACGATCGACGGCGTCGCATGGCTCGGCCGACTGCTGGACAGATTTTGAACGGCGTGTGCTGTCTGCGCTCGTGTGAGTGCTGAATGAGTCTCAGAATGGGCTGCCTTTGCGGCCTGCGCAGCGAGAGCTTTTTTGCGCCTTTCTTCTTCCTCTACCCTGGAACGGGTCGTACGGGTCTTCTTGGGCTGAAGGGGAGCGAGATGACGTGAACCGGGAGTGCGATCCTTCCTGCGTCTTCGTGGAGCGGGATCATACGAACAGTGTCTTGCCACAGGGTCTGCTCGTTTGATGCAATTGGAGCATTCCGGTTTTGCTCCGTCGCAGCGTACTTTACGAGTGCGACTAGGAAAGTTGAGGTCAGTATATGACCGTTTTTATCTGGGAGCATCCCGGTGCAACTCAATTGATTATGGGCCATATACGCACACGGAATCGTGCACATAAGGCTCATTTTCGTCTCCCTATGAGTAACTGGGGACAAGCAGTCGGGACTTACCACTGGACACAAGCGAGATAAATGCGCTCGCGGGGCTTTCCGAGGGAGGTAAGAGGCTTGTCAGCGAAAAATTGTCCCTCCCCCTTCTTGCTCGTAGGATCAGATGAGTGGGATTCATCCAAACTTTTGCCTCCGGGTCCGGGAATCTCGGCAGCTGAAGGCCGGTATGCAATCTGAGACGCCTCTGCTTGCCATTTTACGGCCGCATCGAAGGAGAGACTATGGAGGTGAAGGGCGCCTGCCAGAGAAGACGACTCGGCAGAGATGGATCGGGACAGGGTCGGAGCCACCCAAGAGGAAGATCGAGTTGCAGCGTTCGCGGAGCCCAGCGAAGTAGGACTTATGTGGGAGCGGTGGAGTGGATCAGATTGCTGAATCAATGGATCGAAGAGGGCTGAGGCTCCCTGGGCGTCGTACTCAGAGGTGCAAGCGGATCCCTCTGACTGAGGTTGTGCAGGGAAGGGAGGCGGGAATTCGGTGGCCATGACGGGATCAGAGTGACATAGCAGCAACACGAAAGGAAGGCGGTCTCGGCGCAGGAGAGACTGAGGAGGGAGACGAGATGCTAGATCATATAGTCAGCTGGTTAGAGGGGAAGTATAGGGGGTGAGGGGGTATGTATCATATTGCTCAGGCGGTCTTGAGGAGGGGCGCTGGGAGATGGTTATGGGAGTGATCTGCGCTCAGGGCGAGCTGCGCACCCGCACCCGTCGTCTGTCGCTCTGGCAATATTGGTAAACCCCAGGCCCCGCAGCTGCGCAGTCCCGTACGGTAGTCACCGTCAGTCCCGATTGCAGTCGGTGTCTCGTTCTGTGTTCAGCTGCAAGCACAGTCTCCGACCAGTGCGGTCCGATCGTCGCGGCATTTGGGGTTTCCTCCAGCGCCAAAACCCTTCCCTCCGCCCATCAACAGCGTACATCGTGCTGAACACAGTCCAGACACTCAGACGTCTGCCGACTGTTATACACCCCCTCTCGTCGTCTTCCTACCTCAAGCATGTCTATACCAGGTCAATCTCAAACCGCCCGCTTTCCCACATTCTTCTCAACCGCGTTCTACAGGTCTTGGAGGCTACGGCGATGACCCGCTCAGCGACCATGAAGACGCTTCCTCCTCTTGGATGCCATCCAAGGCTCCTCCAACCGCCATATCCACTACAGCGAAGCTTGAAAACGATGTGAGAGCCTTCATTGCCGCCTCTCCCTCCGCCCTGTTTCCCTCTTTGCTCTACATATTTTCCTTTCTGGCCAGGGTGTCCAGCTGAACCCACGCGTTCCCGTTTCCTCAGACAGTCAGTTGCTTTCATTTTATTCTACGCTCTCAAACTGATTTCCTTTGCTGCCGCTCATCTTGCTATCCGGCCCGTCTCAGACTTCAGCCGCTCTACCTCGACAAAACCGGCTGTCATCATTCGTCGACATGCTCCTGCAAAGCCACATCTGAGGACCCGCGTGCCAGAAGACCAACCCGATCCCGGACCATCTACGCCTCCTCAGTCCTCCGTGTCTTCTCCGCTTCCCCACCCTCCCAATCCCGAGAGAGCCGATGACCCCACGGATGAGTTGACGCGGATCCGGCAGCTCCTTCGCCCACCGCCCATACCGGGAGTGCAAGACTGGGGCATACCTCCAGAGCCGACTGAACCATGCGATGAAGCCATCAAGGTGCGTGCCATACACAGACATGTCCATTCCCATTCCACAACGTTCTCACCGTGATCCCATGTGCCATCAGGCGAAGATCACCAACTTCCTGAAGCTCAAGCGAGACCCGCAAAACCCAAGACACTTCAACGACTCCCTCATGTCCAACCGTGCCTTCCGCAACCCACATTTGTACACGAAGCTCGTCGAGTTCGTAGACGTCGACGAGCGCACTACCAACTTCCCCAAACACATCTGGGACCCGCTGAACGTAAAGGAGGAGTGGTACGCCGACCGCATAGCGGAAGCGCAGAAAGCGCGCTCCGAGGCGACTTCGGCCTCGCAGCACTCTTCACAACGTTCTCGCATTGAGTTCGCCTCTGCTTCGGCGTCGGCGGCCTCCCTTCGGCAACACCGCTTTGACGGAGGCAAACCAGGCCGTCACCAGCCTTACAGCTTGTCAAACCGCGGAGGGGATAATAAGGACTCCGGTGATGGGGTACTAGGCGGCGGATACGGGAAGGGCAGGGGTAGGAGTCGGTGGGGGTGGTGATTGGTTGCGCTGAGTTGTCCTGTTGCCTGTAATGTTTGTTCGCTTATGCTATCGTCCTGACCTTCGTGTCTACACGAGACGAGACCAGTGTGCAGATTTGCGTGTGCGACTTCATATGAACAGTTCGGCCATCCCAGCTATTACTACTCTTGGCTGTTTACTACAGTCCCACATGATACGTGGTCCGCATTGAATCCCTTACGTGTGAGTCGTCGATTGGCGTGTTTGCATTCGTTGCGTACTGAATGCCATCACGCATGGCTAATCCTACGAATGTCTATCCCTTTTAGGATCGTTGTCCTGTACTTATGTCCACTCCGATTCGAGTCAGGCATTGACTCCGCCAAACACGACGGGCATTGGCCAATGTCCCGGACCCAAACTGGGACAGAGAAATGGCCTGGGAATGGATGCCTGTCACAGGTCATGTCCCAATGCCTAGCTCCGGACCTGAGCCATCTGGCGCTAAAATCCCTAAAGGGAAATACTAAGGCTGACAAAGCCAATGACATAAGCGTATATACCCCTTGTTGGACAGTCTCGAGCGCCAATATCCTCTTTATGGTATCAGAGCGCCC